TGAGTGATTTAGCAATCAATTTATTATAATATAATAGAACAATACAATAAGAAAAAAAAACATGAAAATTGAAATTAAAGTACACAATATGACAATTAAAGAACCACTTTTCTTATCCATTTTATGTAGCACACACAATCTTAAAATAGTCATAATTGGTTGGATGGTATATGAAAGGAAGTTTATCCATATCAAAGCAATGGCATGATGTTCAGAAAAAAAAAAAAAGAAAGAACACAATTGAAAGAATGGTCTTTTGACCAGATCTTTGAAAAAGTGGGAACAAAAAATTTGTAGCATTCTGATCAGAACGTTACAAATTTGTGGGAACTTATGATATTAAAATAGTTTTTACACTAGAGAAGAGAAAATGAAGGGGTCATCTCCAAGCTTAGAACATTTTGAGCCATGCTGCTACTTTTCTCTAAAGTTTACCAGAGTTATATATTGATCATTTGACGTTGCTTTATAATTCATCAACCACTCATCATGTGTACATTCTGTACAAACTATATTATCTATGTGAGTGATATGATGATTATAGTCATATGCTGCTTTGATCTCATTCTCTTGAATGAGGAGAAAGAGAGATATGGGCGACACATGTGTACTTTCTTAATGGCCAAAGCTGGTCTTTCCTTCTGCCAATTTCCATTGATCAGATCATTGGCCATTGTTACACACTCAAAACCCATCGTTCTTGTGACAGCTAACAATGACAGTAGATCAAAAACTCAAGACAAAAATGCACATTAATTGACCACAAGGAAACTAATGACACGTCCTTTAATACTAATCGAGTCTTAGAAAACCATCTTCGCTTGCAATCAGATAAATGTAGCAACTAACCAATCATGCCTCTTTGGAAACCCTAATAGGTCAGCAGTAGAATCTAGCTTCCTTGGAATGCGACCTATACTTGTGCGATCAAACTACTGTCCCAATTCTATATTGACACCGCAAAAGTTTAACCTATATGTAAACTGTTGAAACATTGATCTAATCCTCATGTCACACAGCTGGCATCACGTTCGTTGAATGAGTCAAATTGTCATTAAATATTCTCTAGTAGTTAGAAATGCATGCAAAAGGGTGGTCACTTCTTGTCCGTCTTTAAACTATATGCAAGCTTCACATCTGAGATCTTTAGCTTGGAAAATTACTACCTGGTTCATGTTTGAGGGAAACTGAAACTTGAAGCAGTAAAAGAGCTCAGAATATTAGCTCTCCCTAAACCACTACATATTTTGATGTTCGAAAACCTTTTGTGTCCTTTGTCTGTACTCATGGATTAATTCTTATGTTATCATCATCCAATAGCTCATGTCTCTCGTGAAACATCAGCACATACGCTCACATCTTTCCTCTTAAAGCAAAAGCAGTAACTCAAAGCCAATAAATTTGCAGACAACAAGGAGCAATATTGATTGTATGTGCAACAAGGTACAAATAATTTTGCAGCACTTTTAGGGAGGCGTGAGACAAGCGGTGGACATGATGAAGCCACAGACAGCTTCGTTTCATGTATTAAACGCTATATGATATCATCTGGTCTCCTAAACTAATCCCACTTCTCCAGCCTTTTGATCTGTTCCATAAACCTAACGTAAGGCCTCTTCGGGCAGCTGACGTCCTTTTTCTGGGAATTGGCTAATGTGGATACCTTTGTTTATGGTGGATTCATCCAATGAGGGCAAGAACTTCTCCCTTCCTCAGCATAAACAAATGTGACAAGACTTTGATCAGTTCCATGAATCCAATCGTTTGAACAGGAGAGATGTATCTGGGGTTCTCCTCAGGAGGGTAATATAATGCCATAGGGAGAAGAGAGGTGATAGAATAATGAGTTAAGACTGATGGAGGTCAGTGGGCACTGATGTGGCTCATTCTGGGATGCAAGTTCCAATGGCAGACGTGCACAGACGCTGCATATTGTAACGGGGGTTAGCAACTGTATATGTAACCCTAGGGAATAGTTTTGTGATGGGAAGTTAGGTATTCTGTACATGTGTTGGGACATTTCGTGACCGCGTCCGGATAAACAAATGGAGAGAGCTTGCAATCGCGGCATCTCATCGATGGGTGTCCCCATATATGTTCTCTTGGACTGGACTCGGTCAGCGTCAGCCAACACTTGATTCCAGGTTGCCGTCGGATCAGACATGGCTGAGAACAACAGTGAAAGTGCTGGTTTATCCGCAGAAAAGATCTGCGTCGCGACGTGAAAGTTTTAACTGAGAAGAATCCAAGAAGATGTCGGAGGTCATCACTGCTGTGATGGAAACTGCTCATCTAACGAATGGTGATTGTACTTGGTCACCACGTGATAATTATTCTGAGAGGCTGACAGATTGAAGAATGCTTCTTGTCATCCAAAGTTTGCCATGTCACAACGTCTCATCAACCATGTGTCTTGTCTTTACTTGTGTTTGTCTTAAAGCTGGTGCTTCATCTGCTGTGAAGGAAGAGTGCAGCATCGGTGAAGGGAATTGCTTCACAAGTGCGGTGTTCTGTGGCCAAAGGCAGTGAAAGCACCATGAGCAGCCGTAGGCACATGAAGCCGGATGCTGTACAAGGAAACAAGAAGGGATTCCTCGCTATGGAGAACCTTATATTTCTTTTACTTGGCTTCCGCACCTGATATTGAGACTTCAGAAGATGTAGCTGTGGTACGTAAGGGACCACAGAGCACTCGCTATTGTGAGATCTCATCTCAAACCATGCGGTGAGATATGATCCGACCACATCGGAAATGCTTAATTTAGGTGCCTCAGATGATCAAGCCTTCATTCGTGCTGATCGGGTTAGAGATTGATCACAAGGATATGTGGCGATTTGAGATCATCCACCGATTTCTGCTCACAAGTTTCCTGATTAAAACATGTCAACGTTACTTTTGGTTGAGTGCTCTTATCCCGTGAATCATAATCAGTGGATATCCAACACAAGTAAAGACGAGACACAGAAGGGATATGAGGTTGTTTCTAACACGAACCCTTGATGCTCAAGTTACGTTAAGTGGCAATTCAGAAGATTGAAACGTCTCGTTCTCTGATAACAGAGTCAACCTTCATACCCTATAGAGTTTCTTATATACAACGGAGTCTGTTTAACCCTAGAGGAGTCGGTTGACCAATTCTTGAAAGAACCACTTCTGCATGGTTCGAAGATTGTCCATCATAGATCGATGATATGTCATCCCATGTATATCAAACCTATGACTGGTTTTAGATGACAACATTCATGTAGATAATGAACCGTTCACTCAAAATAACCAATTTAAACAGATTGCTAGTGTGTCTACGTGAAAAGGAAGTTTTCATTTTAAAGAATAAGAAATTAATATATTACAAAAAAAATAGAGTTTGTTAATAGAGTATAAATTATTCTTTTAAAGGAAAACTAGTTTTATTGGTCTTATATAAGTTTGAAAAAGGCATAATAATAATTTTTTCCTATCCTTAATGAGGTCTTGGAGTTATCGCGATCATCTTCATTGCCATCATCAACATTAACTTTCATCATCATCATCATTATTATAGTGATAGTTGTCACAATATTATTACTATTTTTAATATTACAATTACTGACATCAGTGTCAAATTATGTTATAATCTTTAGCATTGTTCATTATTTCGTTATTATCATTGCTTTCCGATAATCTATGTGATCAATAGAATCATTATTATCGACATGACCTCTATTGTCATCGTCATGTCTTCGACCATCATTCTATTATCGCTTACACCATTATGTTATAGTGTTGGTATACTATTCATAGCATTAGTGTTATTATCATCATTATCAACATTATAAATTAATAACATATTATTTTATCAAAATAAACCTATTTTTCTCACTTGTATGAAGAAACAAATTGAAGGACAAATATAAAATAAAAGAGATGCAAAGTAAACATGCCTTGTAAACCACCATTTGACAAACAAATACATGTTAGCATGATCTAAGCATGAACTGAAGTTATTACATCATCTTATTTGATGCAATTACTTCATACATGAAATTTTATTTAATCTTCCATCCCCCGAATTGCATAATGATAACCCCAAATATGATATAAAATATTAACGCTTGAATAGTGCCCATTTTTTAGGAATATTTGGTCACAGTTGTCTCGATTAACTGCTCAGTCAGTAAAAGAAGAGAATGACTGGGAAATGGTATTTTTTAATACAAAATAAATAATAAAAAAGGAACATTTAATTCTATAGTTATTAGTCTCGTCTGACATCATTGATGACAGGAACAACCAATGTAGAAGAAACAAAAAGGAGATAGACTTTGGTGGTGGTATTGTCCAATCCAAATGTCATCACAAGGATGGAGATGGAGGTACGCACACATGGGTGTTTAACACTCTGTTCTCCCTTTCACTAAAGATCATTGTCAAAAGCCTGCAAATCTTGGTGACACCTTAAAGCTCACATCCGCAGATTACATCACAACTTTGCACGCAAATCCCATCATCTTCCATGGTTTTTATGACGGTAGAGAAGAAGGAAGTCGTGTGGATACGAGAGATACGACTGCTGTAATGCTGTTGTTGTCCCCATTAGTACCAGGAAGTCAAATCTTGCTAGCTCAGACCAAGCCAAGCCTTCTTCTTCTTCTTCTTCTTCTTCCTCACAACCAGTATTCTACCGGCTCAAATGTTATCAAACAGTAATGTCCAAATCAATGGATAAACAAATGATGAAGATGTGATATCAAATACATAAAGTGTATAAGATATGATACATGTGTGATTTATTTATGGTACACATTGGAAGATCAGGCTCGGCCATTCTGTTGTTTACAGCAACTTGCTCCGGTGGTGCTCATCACAAGTCATATCTCTGGTGCATGGATCCCCCCGTGTGATGAAAGGGACAAGACCACATGAATCCAGCCAGATAATTCATGCCTCCCACCCTCGCCTTTATAGACCTAGTGTTACTGTTCTATGTTTACTGCTGTGCTTCTCTCTTAAATGACAGCAGATAAAATACCTCCACCCTCCTTCGGGGAACCTTCCGAGGCAGTCGTTTGGAAGGACAAAGAAGAAGCCAAGACACCTAGGCTGATGTACTACTGCACAACCAAAATCTCACCCTCTTTCTGCAAGGGGTCGATGGGATCCCTCCTAATCGTCATCCCTTCCTTCTCTAGCTAAAACTGAAGCCATCTCCCTTCCACCCCTTGTATTCATTCTTTAGATTGCACAGGATAAGAGAAGAACAGAAGGAAAGCATACATAACGTGCTGCTGGTTTTTCAGTTTGGGTATCTTAAGGGAATCTTAGGGACTTGAAGATGGCGTTCGCCCATGGAAGAGATATGTTTGACTTTACGGAGCAAGAAGAGGCCTGGAAGCATGCTCCTTTTTTGCTTTCCTCCTCTTCCACCTCGTCCCCGTCGTCGTCCTCTGCTCCTTTCAGGTGGAACGACGGCTCGTCGAGCAGTAGCCGCCGTGGCGATGATTCCTTTATCGAAAAGGAGCACATGTTCGACAAGGTGGTAACGCCGAGCGACGTCGGCAAGCTCAACCGACTGGTGATCCCGAAGCAGCACGCCGAGAAGTACTTCCCGCTGGATGCGGAGGCCCACGGGAAAGGGCTGCTGCTCAGCTTCGAGGACCGCAACGGCGAGTCGTGGCGCTTCCGGTATTCATACTGGAGCAGCAGCCAGAGCTACGTGATGACCAAGGGATGGAGCCGCTTCGTCAAGGAGAAGCGGCTCGTCTCCGGGGACACCGTCTCCTTCGGTCGTGGCGTCGGCGAGTCCGGTCGCGACCTCCTTTACATCGACTGGAAGCGGAGGCCTGAGAACCATGGCGCAACCCGGGCGTCTCGGATCTCTTTCCATGGAGCATCCTTTGCGCAATCTGCAGGACCGTGGGGTGGTCACCTCTTCATGCCTCGTCCTCCTCCTCCTCCTCCGGCGACGGTATACGACCACCACCGCCTGGGGTATGGATACAATGTTGTGAGTGCGAGTGCTCTTGGGGGGCAGTATCTTTTCTACCAATCTCCGGTGACGGGGCCATCACCGGTCCAGTTGCAACCTGGTGGCGGTGGTGGCTCGCCCATGGCTCATGATTCGGTGTCCGTCGTCCACAGCCAGGCTACGGCCAAGAACGTAAGGCTGTTTGGAGTAAACCTCGTCTGCACCGGAACGGAAAGCAAAGCCAATGGCAGTAACCAAGGCGCATCATTTAGTTGTCTAAGGTCGCAAGAGGCATCTACTCTCCCTCTCCTCCAATTTCAGCATAGCAGCGCCGAATCCTCGCTGGTTTCGTCTTCGTCGACGAGCAAGGAGCAGCATTCATCGTTGGATCTTGACCTATGAAGAAGACGAAAGCAAAAAAGCGAGGACATTGCCATCTTCTTCCGGATCATTTGGGACGGACGCTGAACAAAACTGGCGAAAGCTTTGGAGGTTCTTTCTGTAATTTTCTGCTTCTTTCATTCGTCTTCATAATCTTCTCTTCAAGTTGTAAATACATGGAAAGATATGAAGGTTCGTAATATGAATTCTAATATGAATGAACCTTTCTCTGGCCCAATGCTCTCCTTGCTTAAATTGATCTCTTCTAATTAATCCATGTTATCTCAGAATAATCTTTCTCAGATAGTTCCAAAGTAGTCAACTCGACATTCCTTAAAATGGAGGACAGACATACAGTTCTGAAGCAATAGAGGTCAGATCTGAACCCCCCCCCTCCATAAGTCTTTTTATCTTGCATTTATCGGGATCTCATTTTTGTCTGCTATGCCAGTGTTGGTATGTTATCATCCATGCATAATGTGTAAGCATGTCAAAAGTTAATGCAAGTATTTTGTTTTTCCTTGCTTTATTCTCAGAAACAAAAATCTAGCAGATGGAGCTTGTTTGGACTCTAATGTTAAACCATATTAAAGAACATCTGTGAGAGCTTTACCTTCCTGCACTCTATTTAAAGCCTGTTAAAGCTGGATGAGCTGTGCTTTTACTGCAAATTAATTGAGGTTTAGGGATGCACTGCATTTGTCAGTCCTACTAAGACAGTATAGGTTGTCACTGATCTCCTGTCATCTCTCAGTTCTACAAGAAATTGTTTGGGTCATTTCTGCATCAAGTTCCTCCATTAAAATCTGTCACTGGTATATCTGTCAATGCCTTCTTTTTCTTCATTGCTCATGCCTCAATGAATCATCTGTTCTTTACATTGTTGCTTCTTTAGGGAATGTGTCAGTACATTACTTCACAACATTTCTATCTTTGTTTGGAATGAAGTCTAAGAACTTCTACTGGTAAAAGTACAGTTCATTCAATACATAGTCGGCATAATATCTTCAACTATGACCAAGAATGAACATGGAGATGCTGAAATGTACAACGAAAAGCCAATGATCAACTGTTCTGTAATAAAATTAAGAGTGTTCATAATCAAAATTTGATGATCTAATGTATATCTGGATCTCTTAACAAATCACAGCCATCATGTCCTTGTTCTTGTAGTTATATTTTAATTTATTATGATTTTTGGACTAATTACAACCGGTCGAGTATATTATGATGATTGTGCCCACGACGATCCTCCAATTCAGTCATTTTTCTCAACATAAATTGTTGGTTTTGCATGGTTGTATACATCTACATGCAAAGTTGTAATTTTTTTTTTCAAAAACAAAGAACATTACTAAGTTTAACTTGGAAAATTATGTGTTATTTGTTCTATGACGTTTCTACATTAGATAATTCCTCAAATGTCAGTTAGTTTGTCTAGTATATATACTGATATATATGTTCATGTCATGTTTCCTTCTTCACATTGTTGACAAGGATATGCACTTGCATTTTGATGGGAAGTTGGAATGTTTTGTTTGGAGTATAGGCATATCATATAGATTAGAAGTTTAAGTTAGGGAATGTTTGCACATGTAGAGAAATCCACACTTAGGTACCCATGCTTTATCTGACATGATAGCTTCATAGTAATTAAGATGGATTGCTTGCCTATCACAATCATGATTTCTTAACTGAATGTTCTGTACATTGAGAAAGATGCTTTCTTGATTAGATATTCAGGATAATGGTCTAGTGGGGACAAAATGTCATTATTGCTGTTTTATACATCAGGATCAAGGCATTGGATCAAAGTCTTCTTTTCTTAATTTCTTGATTACATGATCATTAAAGATCACTATGTAGATTGCGAAAAAATATATATATATATGGTTTTAGATGAAGAATTATAGATGGAATATGGGTTGATATAAACTGTTTCATAGACCTGATGGATAGTTGAATGTTTACACTTATCCTACATTATAACATGCTGGTTAATCAGCTGAGAGTTCTTGGACAACCAAAGACCACCCACATTGTTAAGCAGCTAATCCCTGTGTGTATTAGTCCTAAATAATCATTTTTTTACTGTTAGTACGTCAAGAATAGAATCTTACATTGTAAAATAATTTTAGAGCTGTGATTAATTCAAAAGGATCTCTTGTGCATCCTATTCTTGGTACAAACTATACAATTATCTATTAAACTGATAACTTGGCTAAGCATAAGATTCTTTTGATGCATATTAAGATATATGTACGGTTTCAAGCATGGGATGGTTAATATAAATCCATTCATGCTGAACACACTGGATAAGAAGCAACAACACCAAAGAGAAAGGAATTACTCTGATCTAAAAGAAACTTAATAGTATATGTGCCAGTGATCTACGCACAGTCGCCTCTTCATTGACATTTCTTTTCATGCACATGTTGTACTGAAAAAGGGATTGATGATGAGTTTTACAATGTACGTTCCATTACGAGTCTAAGCTAATTTAATTTTAAGGTGCAAGCACTACATACACATAAATTTTAGCCATGCAGCTATCGTACAAATTCCAGTCATCAGGTTGACTTAATAGTCATTACCGAAATAAATTATGATGATTAGGTTACCTTTCCAATGTTTATAAAAGGCATTGATGCCTAAAGATTCCGATTTGTTTGTGGTTTTTGTTACATTATCTTATACATTTCTCTACCATGACTCCTTCAGGAATTGATTTTTTGAAGTACTTGAAGAAAAATTTCCAACAAACTAAGCAAAATATTAGCGAAAAGGTTTTAGAGTGAACGTATTTGATATATAGATGCAATACTATCAGTTCTCAAGAAGCGATATTGATATAAGCTAATGACACAAATACCTCTTAATAGTTCGAGTAGATTAAGCTTGACTGACACAGTACTTCTTTTTAATTTTTGATATGCGCACATTGATTCCATAATTGTATAGTTTAGTTGAAGCACGAAGTCGATATAATGATTTACGTTCCCTGCATTTAAACAATAATTATTTGTTTTTTCTCAGGGTTTTCGGTGTATTTAAACAAAATTTAGGAGTGACTGGTGATTACTCTATGCATTTCTTCAATGAAGAACATTCCCTTGGAAGGTATGTTTCTTACAGGGACGAGATACAAGGAGTTCTCTAAGCATGAATGTCATATTATTTAGCATAAAGAAGCATATGTAGAGACATGGGAAATTAGGTTCCCCATTCTTGGGATGAACGTATTGGATGTATTTATGTTATCATTTATTGTGATGGGTAAGTTACATCAACTCTTTTGCAATTTCTCAGAAGCTGTACTCAAACATCATCACATCATGCTAGACTTGACTGCAACTGAGAATAACTGCGGAAGAACCCATGAGGAAGTCATTTCAATAATTAGGGAATGATACAGAACACGAAAAAGGAATCCAAGGATGCTTTTCTTGTTCAAAACATAGCAAAATTAAATGCAGTTCTCAGTTTCTCTTGATTCCAGTCATTGGTGTTACAGATTTCCAAGTAGAACATAATTTCATGAAGTCTGGAAGGGTAGATGCATATTTAACTTTCAGTGACAGGAACTATGCAATATCACCTTGTTTTAATAGTTTCATTTTAGTGATATTGGGTCAATTCTAGAGCGTTTACATGTACTAAGTTCATAGCTAGAAGTTCAAATCAATGAATGAACGAATGAATGATGTAAAAGAAAACCAAGGAATTCCCTATTGATATTCCTAAAATTTATGCCTTGGCCTATTTGTTCATCTTTGATCAAGTATTCTTTTTCATTAATTTAGAAGAAACATCTTGTGTTAACATCTTTTTCACTAAGTTAGGAGAGTAATCGATATGGCCTTTTTTCTTCTGTCAACTTCTTTACTTACCTTTACTGACAGTACTGTCGAATAAAGTTGGTAATAACCTTGTCAAAATCAACAGCTCCTGTGTTCTCGTTGTCCGATGGCTTTGTGTTTCCAAAATGATCTACACTGTATTCTTTTCCGGATGATATGGAGCTCTTGATCATTGTGTCTTGAAAGTTTCATGCATAATGATTCTTTATCTGACAGAACTCTGCAGCTCAAGCGTGAACAACTGAGATGGAATATCAAGTCAAGTGCCTTGTTAAGCCTCATCTGCATGTTGTCTTCTTCAAGACCACTCAGGCCAACAAATCTTACAGAGTTTGGTTCAAAGTCTAAGCGAACGATCTCATTACACAATCAGGCAACAGAAAAATCCGTTCTTCCACAGGCAAGAGCATGGCAACATAACTCTCCATCATTAGCTCGAAGTGGCAAGTAGAATAGAGGCGAAGACACACAGACGGCCGTCCTGGATTCGTCTGCGACGCACCGCAGATGGGACGCATGACAGACTGCATCATCCGTGGAAGCTCCTCGCTGAGGAACAAGGCCAAGTGTGCATCTGAGCCTGCTCTGCCATCTTCATCTTCATCCTTAGGTGGTCCAAATGCTGCTAAACCATTATATATGGCGAGTTCACAGTCTTCTTGCAGTCCGTAGCAGGACTCGTATCTCCAGATGCCAAAAGGTTAGGTCGACCGCCATCCCTCTTTGATGCCTATTGCCTCTCCCTTTCGGCTGAGCCCACCACCACTACCCCATGTTCTTGAGGACAACCTCTCTTCGGCAATAAAACTTATCAAACCATCCTACCCATGTCAATCAACTCCTTTGGATATTGTATTATTGCCTTTGCCACAGCTAGTTTTAAAATGTTCATCACTGTTGTATCTGAGTCCACGTACATCTTCATGATTACAGGCGAGCTGTTGGTACATGGCACACAGTGAAAGAGAGAGGAGTGGTGCAGTGCATATTTCTTGATTAGTACCCATCGGCATTAATATCTTAATTATAGGCTTCATACGACCAAGGAGGTTTGCATGGGACCACGTTGATCTCCCCTATGCGATAGGGTTACGTGTGCTCTACCAACAAGCAACAGAGTCCCACAGGGCCCGGAGAACCAGTCGCGACTTGATTCGCGACGCACTGATGGAGTCCTGTGTCTCGATGCCGTCCGTCCATTGTCCGTGAACTGTGCTTTAAATAGCGCGCGTTTTGCTGAGAGGCAGTACGCTGGGGAGCGTGCAGTGGTATGATTAGATTGGGCCGGCAGGGATCAAGGCGCATCAATTTACGTGCGCCAGGATGATGGCAGTGGCGAGGCCGACGTCGCTCC